TTTTTGTTCAACTGATTTAAGATGCAATTAGTTGGGAGATCAACTGATGAGGGGAAAGGGATTTTGTATATCTAAAGGGGGAAGAGGAGGAGAAAAACCTGTAATTAAGCACACAGGAAATATCACAAGGACAGATGGAGGGGATTGGAATTGAATTACAAAGAAGAATATATCATTAAAACATGAAAACTAAAATAAATAAAATAAGAATTTAATAATAAATCGGTTTAAAGGCTCTTTAAAAATTATATTAAATTCATTACAATGAAATCTTGGTATTTTTACTACTTTAATTATATAATAATTAATTATAATTTGAATTTATTCAACCTACTTTAGCTAATTTAATTAGTATTAAGTTCTTTCTGTGAAATATATATATTTTTAAGGTTTTCCCCAACTTATATAAAACCTCACACAATTAATCCAACTTCAGCTTATGATATTTATTCCAGATTTTTCCACTTATCTCGTCACATTCCCCATGATTTATCAATTAGCAGGATGACACAAGGGAGACACAGCACAAGTGTTTGGAATTCCAATTTCAAATTAATTAAGACTTTTTTTATATTCCACGCTAGACCCCACATGGCGTATACTTGATCATAAAAAAAATATTATTAATACGCCCCGTAAACCCATAAACTTCCTCGACATTTTCTTATCAATGGCAAATTTAATCTTTAGCTAGATGGTAAAAAATAAACGAAACCCCTGACTCGATTTTGGATTTTTGCAGAAACGTGGACGTAGCCGCTCAGCTTATCAGCGGAGAGTCCAAAAAAACACATTGATAAGCTAATGAAATTTAAAATAACAAGTCACCCGGGGGGCCTCTCTTTTTCACTTTTTTGTTTTAAAAAAAAAATTGTGTCTGGTTCAGAAACGTGCTCGACCAACCAGAAAAACACGGTGAATGGCAGACAACAACGCCCAAGCAAAAAAAAAAAAGAGTTTATTAAAAGAGATTAGCATAAATTTGGAAATTTTATGAGCTACGCGAAACTCAACAAAATCAAAACCACAAAAACAGTTACGAACAAATAATACAACAAAAAAAAGTAGAAAAAACATAAACCTGTTGGCGCCGCCATAACAAACAAATATAAGCCTGATTTCAAAACATGAAATTCCGTAAAATTTGCGACTCGAAATTTAAAATTCTTGAACCCAAATAGCAAAGTCCAAGTGGGGGGATATTTTCGCCAAAGAGATTATATAAGTCTTTGAGCGATGAGGGAATTTGGGAGGGAAAGGCAGCGAAAGTCTAGAGATTTTGATGGAATTAGTTAGGGAAAACGAAAGAAAATACATTAAATAAAAAGAGTTTTAGGGTTTTAAAATATAAATATGTTATTTCTATGGAACTACATTTAATTTATAATTTTTTGTATTGATTTTCTGTTACTTTCAATCGAATTTTGTTGATTTTTCAAATGAGTTTAAGAGAAGGGCTTTGAGGGAATACAAAAGTTTATGGTAACTCAAAAAATTTATATTATAATCCCTGGATTTACCTTTAATTATAATTATAATGTTATAATTAAAAAAAAAAAAAAAAATATTTAAAATATTTATACCCAAAATTAATGCATACAAAGCTCTTACTTAACTTTATTTTCTAATAAACTTTATAAATAAAATAAATATAAGAAACTCCTAAATTCCCTAGCCTTGTTTTGTTATTATTATTTTTATATAATACTGTGCGTTCTTCTGCTCTTTTTATTTAATCTCCTTGTTTTCTTTCTCATTTTTATACCCTTGCAGGGTATTATAATTTCAGTCAGAAGTTTGCAACGCAGTGAAGGAGACGTTTCCGACCCTATAAAGTATATATATTCTTGATCAGCATCAACAGCCGAGTCGATCTAGCCATGTCCGTCTGTCCGTCTGTCCGTCTGTCCGTCTGTCCGTCTGTCCACCTGTCCGTTTCTACGCAAACTAGTCCCTCAGTTTAAAAGCTATCTGAATGAAACTTTGCATATATTCTTCTATATACTCTCACTGCTATATATGTCGGAACGGGCCGGATCGGACGACTATATCATATAGCTGCCATACAAATGTCCGATAAATTTTTAGAAAAAAAATTATTACTTTGCTGTTTTTCAATATTTTTGCACCATTTTTGAGATATGGCCATTTTATATTATTTCTGAATTTTGGTAAAAATTTTATAAAAATCGGACGACTATATGATATAGCTGCCATAGGAACGATCGGGAAATTAATAGGAAAAAAATTATAGCTTCGTTGTTTTTCAACGTATTTGTATCTACTCTGAGATATAGGCTTTTTTTATTGTTCTAGAATTTTGGTATAAATTTCATAAAAATCGGACAACTATATCATATAGCTGCCATATAAACCGATCGGTAGATGTATACAAAATGTAAAGCTGGGAATGCAAAACTGTAACTGTCAAACTGTAAACATAATAAGTATAGGTAAAATGTAATGAAATAATATCTGCAAGGGTATACAAACTTCGGCGTGCCGAAGTTAGCTTCCTTTCTTGTTTGTATTACTTTTTTTTTTTGCGCAACAAAAAAATGTGCCGCAAGCCGTTTGTTTTGTTATTTCTGCGACTGCGACTGCGCAACGACTTTGACTTCGGGTTTCCAAGCCCAATTCCCGGTCTCTCGCGTCCCGGGATTCCATGGCCTCTGCCTTTGCCTTTGCCCAGATGCGATCCCAAACCGATCGCCAGACGGAAAACACATCCACATCCCATAACGAGACGAGGGCCCAGACCCAGACGGCGCGGACTCAGACGCCGACCGAAGGCAGAGACCCAACTCGAAGTCCCCGAGCAAAGTACAGAGACTCCGCAACAGCGGCAGACAATGTTGGCAACCGGTTTGCGATTTATTTTTATATATCTTTTCTTTTTTTTTTTTGGTTATTTGTATTTGTATTTAGCCGCTCAACCCCCTCCTTATCAGCCCTGTCTCGCTCGCTAGCTCTCTCTCTCTCTCTCTGTCTCTCTGGCTCATTATTATTATTATTTGCTGAATATTTAACATTGAAGCTCTGGTCGAAGCGGATTTTCATGGCACCAACACATAACATGGGTTACAAAAAAAATACATACCTATATATATCTATATATATATATAGAGGAATGAGCAAAAAGGCGCCGAAGCTTAAAATACCCTTGGGTACAGAAATTCTTCTTGGGCAAGGATCAGGTTTCAAGGTTAAAATTGGCAAAGTAAATTATTTACTCAGTGTAAAAAAGACTTTATTACATTTTGAATTTAAAGAATTAATATATATTTTCTTAAATAAATTCAAAAAAATACTAGGAGGCCTGGGAGAAAATTTTAAAAAATATTTTAAGTATGTTTTGAAAGGATAAGGATATTTTAGGATATTTATTTTATATTTATTTAGAATTTCGATGTATTAAAGTATTTTAAAAAGAAGCCCTGATATTAAGTCCCAGAGATTACCATAATTCTATTTTTCTACGAATTTGTAGGTCTTGAAAAGTTTAGAAATACTTTTTCCTATACAATTATATTTCCATGTTATAAACAAATTCAATTCTTTTCAATAACCCTTTTATTTACAGGGTATTAGTAGCTATATATCCTATATCCCAAAGACCCTTTCCCCTTAGGCGCAAAAACTGATCCAAAAAAAATCTAAAAATAAGCTGCGTGGCTGCGCTGCCTCGGCGGCAAACAAAATGCCAAAATGTGGCAGACGCGCCGGCAACCGCGAAATGCAGCAACAAAAAATTTACAACAAACACAAAAATATATTAAACAGCAACAAAATACCCCCCAAAAATGAAAAGAGACAAACAAAAAGCACAATCTGCAGCGGAAAAATGTATTATTTATTATGTTTTTTGTCTGTTTGCGTGAAAATATTTTTCGCGATCGCTGTTTAAGCATAAAATTAAGTAGTTTAAATAAATAATAACCGACAAAACAAAACAAAAAGCAAAAGCAGAATTGGCCTAGCCGGCGGAACCAAAAAAAATTGTTTTACACCCCAACCCAGCGCCATAAATTGCAGTTGCATTGGAAATAATAATTATTATGAATTCATTATAACTTGGCAAAGTTTAGTTTGTGCTTTTTTTTTGTTTTATAAAGTATATTTTGCATTTCTGTCTTTTTTATGCGATTTTTTTTTCTTTAAGAAGAAGATCGAATGTGAATGGAAGTTGGGGGGTTCCGAATATGGAGCCGCCTGTCTTGGTTGCCGTTGAAATTGTTGTTATTCTCGTAATTGCCACTGGGTGGGGCTTTCGGTCGGTCATATGCATAATTAAAATTAAGATCAGGGCTTGGAAAATATGTGTGCGCATAAAAAATATAGAGGGGGAGAGTGCGAGAAGCCAGAGCTAACGAAGGGCGGGGCTGGGTAGAGAGATTATCAAGCTAATAATCCCTTAGAATACCCAGGAATTCAGGAAGTTTCAAACAAACAAGGCGAAAAATAAGACTTGTAGTGGATTGGGGGTTTATTTTTAACTACCGGTAGACAAAAGTAAAGATAATACTATGTAGATATACTAATAAAAGGGTATTTAATTTAGGGAAAAATAAAAATAAGAGATATGATTCCTGAAAAGGATGGAATATGATATCTAAACTTGTCTAAAATTCATTTTTTCCAATATACATATGTATCTTGTGATATCATATTTCATCCTTTTCAATAATTACACATATCTCCTATATAATAAAGGGATTTTATAAAAATAAACGGAATTGTACCATCTTCACATGAGTCTTTAACACAAAATATCTCTCAATCCCATTTTTCCTGCCTCTTTAAGAGCATCGTCTATTGCTTTTCTAAAGCTAAATGTCTCAAAATATAAGAGAAAATAACTACTAGTTGCTATATTTATATTTATTTAAAAAAAAAACAACTATTTTTTAATATTTTTTCAATGCTCCTTTACATTTTCCAAATATCCCAAAGTTTAATTTTTATAATAAACGAAATATTTCATTATAACTTCAGCTTACCTTTCTTTTCTTATGATCCATTTCCCTTTGCTGCTTGTGCATCTCCTTGAGCTCCACCTCCTTGAGCTGATCGAGGATGATCTGGTACTTTTCCCGATTCTCCACATCGAGCGCCACATGCAGGTAGTCGTGCCAGTTGCGTGAGTCGAAGCCCCAGTGACAGGTCTGATTCTCGAACTTCCGATGGACATGACCGACGAACTTCTGGGGCGAGAACCAGCCGTCGCACTCCAGGCACTTGATGCAGGTCGGCTTCTGGTATGAGTACATATCCGGTGTACAGATGCCCTCGCACTTCCCGAAGCACTTGTGATAGACATGGAAGCTCAGAGCACCCTTGGCCAGGCTCTCGATCGGCACATAGCTATTCCGATCGGATCGATGGAGCAGAGCGGCACACAGACGCTCGGCATCTGTTCGGGTGATCAGGCCACTGGCCTTGACATCCGACGGCAGAATCTTGGCGGCCTTAAACTCCACCAGCTGATCCGGTGTGCACTGGGAACAGTAGATGCCCAGCTCATCAAAGATCCGATTGATCTGCTCCAGCGAAAAGTCATTCAAGACGTTATTGAGAAACTGCGGCAGGCACAGCCTCATCTCGCCGCCCACGGAGAAGCAGCCAATGGTCTTGCCCTCCAGTCGCGTCTCATACAGTTCACCGCATCCTGAATCCGCCACCGAAAGTATGGGCTGGGACAGCTCCCGGGGCGGCGTGGCAGGTGGATATATCTGGGTGGGACTGCCCCTACTACCAGCGGAGCAATCATGATGATGATGGTGCAGTTCCTGTGGCTCCGGTGAACTTAGAATTTCTTTTTTGATCAGAGCGGCGGCCACCACCGGCGAGGTGGCCTGGCACTTGCCAAGGAGAATGCCAGGGCTGTCGCTTCTGCCGTTGCTGGTTATGTCGCCGAGGACAACGCCGGCGGCATTGAGAGCATGTCCTGGTCCTTGGAGCGATTTGGTGGCACTCGTCTGGTATTTCTTCAGGACGTTGCTTATCATGGGCGTCACGTATTCGGTCATTTTGGTGCCTTATAATGTGATTTTCCAGGATGTTTAGCAATCCATTTTTGAGAACTTTGATGGTTATCCTTCCAGGATACTTGAAAATCCTCTTACTTATGATTATTATTAATATTTCTATAGATTTTTGAAGGTTTGATTGATTAAATTTCAATTGATTATAATTTTTAAGAATTATTTTTATATTTGAAAACGATTGGGATCCATTTTACTTGGTTTTATTATCAACTGTTTTAAGTGGTATATTTTATTTTATTTGAAAGAATTTTGGCACATTTGTGATTGATTTGTTTTTTGTTTGATTTTCTGGTCAACCAAGTTTAATTATTTTCCAGCTTTCTTGTTAGAATTTAAGCAATTAGCTTTTTGCCGTCGGCAAAATTCAGCTGGCACAGCACAAACACATATTTTTATATTTTATTTTTCGTTATTATTTGAAATTGTATTTATAGAAATACATATTTTCCGGCAATTTTTTTGGACAAAAACTTGTGCGCACTTTTCGGCGATTTTCCCGCATGCACTTTATTTGATTTTCGCCATCAATTAATTTTCTCTCCTTTCGGCGCAATTTCTTCTTAATTTCAATTTTTGTATTTCATTTTCTTTTCAATTTCTCAACTGCAAAAGCACACAGATACACTCACACACACGCGACAACGGATACACGGACAAACGCGCACGCACACAAACACACTGCAAGCAAGGAAGGCCGGCAGAAGGGAGAGCGGCGGCAGCGACGGCGGCGAAAGAGAGCGATAAAGCGGGGAGGCAAGGTACGGTACAAAAAACGCCGCCTGACAAATTCCTTTTATTTGTGCGGCTGTCTTGTTGTTGTTGTTGTTGTTGTTGCACTATTTATAAATCTTCTATTTGCAAATTATGTATTTTCCTTTTTTGCACATTGCTCTTTGGATTGCCGCCGCACTTTACTTTGTTTTGTATCTTCTCGCTCGTTTTGTATCTTCGTATCTTTCGTTTTTCTATTTATCTTCTTTTTCGCAAGCGTCGCACGTGCGAGCTTTTTTTTTTTTGTGCCGTCGTCTATATTTCGATTTTTGCCACCACACAGCAGCGACAGTCCGACGTCCGAACTGCACGAGTTTTATTTTCCAACTGAAAATTATCAGATATCAGAGCTTCGCCAGTCGACTATGCCCAACCAGTCAAGATACAATTATACGGGGTAGTCTCGTCGGAAAAATAAGCCCCAGTTCGGCTAAAAGTTTCAGTGAAATGACTCAAAATAAGCCCTAAAACCCGAACATTTTGGTTCCGATGGGACCAACTTTTGCAATTGTATCTTGCTTAAAAGTAAGCTGAAAAAAAGCGGAAATGACACCACTGAAATTTGATAAGTAAAATAATATATTCATTTTACGCGTTTATTAAAAAAAAATTTTTAAAAATTTAAAATATAGATAATAATAAAAAATCTATATTTATAAATTTTAGTACTTTTACTTTATAAATTCATAATAAAAAAACACGCAGTGTAAAAATTATATATAGTTTTCTTTTAAAATAAATCGTTTATGACAATAAAGCAATTTTGTTGAAATATTTTAGATTAATTTTAAAATATGCCATTTTTAAGGCTATGAGATACAAATTTCTTAAGCTTTTTTCTAATTCAGATGTGCTTGATCTAGCTAGAAACAAGCTAAACTGGCGGACTTCGCTGCGTCGGCCAGTTTCAGTTCCAATTAGCTGTTTGCCTGCCGATTGGAACACAACTGGCATAAACTGGCAGAAAATCAAAAGCGGGTTGGTGGCAAAGATAAAAAGGTTTGTAACTCTGCTAAAACATTTTTGAAACGACTTATTAGAGCGTTATTTTGGATATAGCTCAATTTTATTCTGAATTTTAACCTCTAGATTTATTTTTTTTAACAGATCTTAGGGGTGCGGTTATTCCTGACCGGAATCTGGACGAGCCTAAAGAGAAATCCCAAGCAATACATTTTTTTAAGATATCTTAAGAGACTCAACCTCAATCTCAGCACAACACAGAACAAAAACAGTTTAAATTAATATAAAATAAATTAAATATACACTATGAACGAAACCACAGATGCACTTGCCTTTCTGTTAGACTGTTAAGCAATAAATGGAGATATAAAATAAAACAAAAAAACAGATAGGGAGTTCAAATTAATATTAAGTAAATTAAATTAAATAAATATTACACTACGAGAAAAACTAGGAAGCTGTGGATTTTCTCAATGACGGGGGTACAGATCGACACTGGGGGAAATACAGCAAGAGCAGAGAGTTTGCCAAACAATTAATATTAATTAAGCAAGCTCAGCTTTAAAAAAATCTTAAAAACAATTAAAATTAAGACTTGGAAAAAAAAGAAAACGAAAGAAAGCAAGACCCAGGAAGCCAACATTGTCCAAGGAAAAGCAGGAGGATGTAAACTCTTTAAACATAAGCTTTAAAATAAATTATGAAAATAAATAAAAAAGTTAATAAATGGTAAAAAAAATTATTCTCAAAAGGGAGCATTGGCGAACATAGTCGGGGATTTACCTATGACATCCCAAGCGTAAATTTTTGCTTTAAAATAAATTATAAAAATAAATAAACTAAAATGAAGACTCAGAAAAACAAAAGAAATAATATTAATAAAAACAAAGGGGGTTCCAATTGGGACACAGACATCACAGATCAGGATATAAATTTAAAAAAAAATAAAAATTAACAAAAATGAAGAAAATAAAAAAATATAAACTAAATTCAGGTGCTTGCTAGTCAAAGTGCAAACGTTAACTGAACTGCAACTGGCGTTTGCTTGAAAAGGTAAACTTTTTATAATAGTAAAACCCCAAAAGTATGACCATAAATGCACGCCTAAAACAGCTGATGCTTAAGCAAAACCGCTGATTTTCGTTTATCCCGACTGCGGTCATACTACAACTGAATTTTTGATTAATTTTTCAAGTAATTATTGGTTTTCAAAGCATTTGCAGATAGAAAACATTAAATTAACACCCTTTCTGTGCCCTTGCAGGGGGGTAAACGAAAAGCCTGTGAAATGCCGGAGCCGCGCAGTCCGATGGCCAGTTTTGCCCAATCGGTGCAGAATGTGATTGATGGACCCATTACCTGGTTCCGTGGTACGTATTATCCTTTAAAAAGCAACCACAACGATCTGGAGGCAACTTCCTTACAGCCAGGAATAGCTTCCAAGGACCAAAGAACAGAAATAGTTGGAAAAAACTTGGAAAAACTCCAGACAATTACATAATGACATAACCTCAACCGGGCGCCAACTGTTTGTTTTTGTTTACAATTTCCCAAAGCAGAAATATACTTAAATTTATCATGTTTCATATCATTTAACTTGCAGAGACCATTGTGGAGCCCAACCAGGAGAAGTACAACTGGTACCACCAGCGTTTCCGTCGCGTTCCAACCATAGATCAATGCTATGTGGACGACGCCGTCTGCCGGTTCGAGGCGGATCAGCAGTTCCGTCGGGATCGCATGGTGGACAATGAGATTGTGAACATTCTTCGCCAGCGCTTCGAGGACTGCACCCTGTACGAGGCACCGGATCACTTGGTCAAGTGCAAGCCGCTGTTGGAACAGTACGAGAAGGCCACCGAGAATTGGTTCATCAAGTGTGAGTCTTAGTCAAGGAGCTCCTTGGGAAGCTAGTACTGAACCATTTCTCTGCCTCTTTTTTAGATGGCGACTTGGGTGGCTATGCCAATGCCAAGACCGCTTACATGAAGCAGAAGCATCGCTTGATCTGGGAGCGTCGCCATGGACCCGTAGGCAGTGGCATGAAGGGAGAGGGAGAGGCTGTCCACTAAGGGCAGATCTCTCTTTGATTCTGTTAGGAGCGATGATGTTTTTTAGTTCCATTATCCGTTATTTCGAAAATATACAACACACACAAGCCCTGAAAAAATGGTAAATCCACGAGCATTTGCATAGTGATTTCATTCAAAAAGGATAAACCAGCTGGAAAATGTTTAAAAAGGTGGAAATTAAAGGAAAGTTTATGGGGTAAGTATGGATATGGAGTGGAAAAGTAAGATTTGATATATCAAATATCATATCGAAGATGCTTTTAACTTTTGATAAATGTAAATGTAAACTTTCTGATCTGCAAAAAAAGCTGGAAAGGTTATAAAGATTCAAAAAATATTTTATTTCTTATAAAGGAATTTATTTCAGTTGAAGTTTATCAATATCTAGAATTTGTTTATATTGTAATTAAAATTTGAATAGTAATTTTTAAATTGGAAACCGAATTTATTTAACTTGTTAAATTAGTTTATTTTTAATATTTCTAGAAGAGATTTACTAATACTATATTTACTATATTTTGAGGAATTTATTGATCATCCAAAACTAGGAGAACAGTCTTTAAGATTTCTTAAAAATTAATCAGAAATCTCTAAGCCTTAATATTCAAGCCTTAAATAGGGAAATTTTGAATTTGACAATAAATAATGAACAAAAAGTGGTAATATTCCATGAAACTAATGAGCAAAATAATATATTTTTGCTTAAAGAAAGTATTTTTTGTTAAAGAAAGTCATGCTTTTGTATGAAATTTTAAACTCAAAAAACATTTTCTTCAAGAATATTCGTTTCAAAAATTTTTAAATCTGTTTAAAAATCAAAATTAAAGTACAAAAAAAAAGTCATGCTTTTGAATGCAATTTTAATATAAAATATATTTTGTTCAATTAAACGTTTTTCTAAAAAAATGTTTAAATGTTTTAAAATTGAAGTAAAAAATCAAAATTTAAAGTTAACTAAACAATTTTCTTCAAGAATATTTCTTTAAGAAATTATTAAATCAGCTTTAAAGTCAAAAATTAAAGTAAAATAAAAAATGTACTTAAGCCAAACCATTTTGTTCAAAGTTTTAGGGAACTACAACCTATTTCCTTCATTATTAATCGTCAAAATCCCAAGTAATTGTGTTAGTAAATTAATTATTCAAGATTAGTTACCGAAACTCCGCTCTGGTCTTCAATTTTTATCCTAAACAATTCAGCTATAGTCCAACCCACATGATCAGCTAATCGAGACCAAGGGCTTGTTCATGAGACTCTTCTTGAGCTTGGCCAGAGCGCTAGTCGCTGACTTGCCTTCACCGGGCTTCTTATCCTTGTTTTTGGGTCCCAACGGAATCATTGTGGTGTCCATCAGCTTGCGACGGAATCCCTTGTAGAACTGCAGCACCTGGGGATTGGCCCACACCTGCTTGGCATCAAAGTCCAGGATGCGTATGGATTGCAGGGACTTGGCACGCGACAGAGCCACATAAGCCTGCCCGGCTTCAAACACCTTCGACAAGGACATTTCCACGCAGTCGAGGGTGAGTCCCTGACTCTTGTGGATGGAGAAAGCCCAGGCTAGCTTAAGCGGCACCTGACGCCGGGTGAGGATGCCTCCGGTGGCCGTCTTGATGATCCATTTCTCGTGCCGGCACACATACTCCTGGTTGTTCTTGAATCTAACCACTGGAAGATTATCCTTGTCTATGCGTACAACCACTCCGCGGGCTCCATTCACCAGCCCATTGGCTATGTTGATGTTTTTCAGCAGCATCACCTGGGCATTGACCTTCAGGTAAAGCTGAGATGGCGCTTGAACCTGTTGATCCATTTGCTTGGTCATCGAAGCATCCGAATCGTCGGCCTTGAAGAGAACCTTGTCTCCCTGAAGGTTCTCCAGCTTGGATTCATTGATGGAGTTGGCATCATTGGTGTGAGAGCAGAGCTGGGTGGCCAGGATGCCATTTCCCTCGATCTTCTGCTTGGAGGTGGCCGCCAGTCGCGTGGTTATCGTGTCATTTACATGTCCTATGCGTAGGTGGTTGAGGATCTTGACAAACTCTGGATCGGATTGGCGATGCACCTGCTTTAGCTCGTAGACACACTGAATGCAGGTCTCCCAGGCGCTGGACTGGAAGCAGAAACGTTGCTGAGGAGTGGAAGAGGGTGCTGCTCCAAAGTCACTTTTGATAACGGGAGGAAGCTGCAGGAAATCGCCACAAAGGATGAGCTGAATTCCCCCAAAAGGACGATCATTGCGGCGTATGTGTCGAGCCACAGCTTCGATTTTCTAAAAGAGAAAGCAATAATTATTAAATTTTAAGTAAAATCGGAGTAATCCCACCTCAAAGAACTGCCCATCCACCATGGAAATCTCATCAATAATCAGTCTCTTGCACTTGCGCCAAGTCTGGGCACTCATGGGTCGCGAGGCCAGATCCAAACACCTTTGCATGGAGGCATCTCCGCCGCCTATGCCCGCAAAGGCATGGAGTGTGGTGCCACCAATCAGACAGGCCGCCACTCCTGTGGAGGCCGTGGCCACCGTGCCATCGGGCGGCAAAGCTGATATAATCCTTCTCAACAAGAAACTCTTGCCGGTGCCAGCGGAACCCGTAAAGAAGACATTCTTGCCGGAGGTGCAGGCCCTCAGAACCTCCATTTGCTCTTCGCTCAGCTTGAGGGAGTCATCGGTGGTGGATTGATATAGCTTCTTGGCCGCCGGCAAGCCACCCTTGTCCCTTTCCTCTCTTAGCTCTTCAAACCGCCGCTTTTTGGAGGCCTGGGGGGAGGGGGTCGTAGTCGAACCCTTGGATAGCAAGCCGGTTTTTTTACGCGCCAAAATCATCTCCGCCGTGGTCACTGGTGAAACATCCTCGAAGCTGCTGGGCTTTCCAGACATCAGATGCTCCCTCAGCTTCTTCTGAAGCGTGGCATCGTCCGGTTGGGCTCCCTCCTTGCCGTTCATCTTGATGAAGATCGTGCGGAGGAAGAACATCAGCGTGCCGGGCGGGGCATTGGACAGGTACATTGTACAGCTCTCCGCCTTGAAGTTAAAGGTGGCCTTGCCCTCGGCCATGAACTTTTTGTGCACCATCAGATCCTTGAGCTTGAATTTGAGTGGTTTTAGCTTCTCCGGCGTCACCTCCACGAACAGCTCCCGCAGATCATTGCGAACCAAGCGCAAGGTGGCTGTCTTGTAGGCCAGTTTGCGGCCCGTAACGCCCACGGAATTGGTCCACTGCATGTTCACCGCACACGTGAGCACTGCGTCGTTGAGATCCATGGCGGTTTAAGCACCGATTTAGTCAGGTTTTTGGTAAATATTCACGAGAAAACAAAAACTAAACATGCGTTTTAGGCGGCAGAAAACAGTGTGACCTTGTACGGTCTGGGAAAGCGTTTTAGATGTTTTAATTGCTGGTCACACTTTGATTGCTCTGGCAGCTGATGGCTATGGTGATGCCAGACTGTTTACAAAAGTGTTTACCCACCTTTTTTGTTTTTCAATTTGTTTTAACGGTTTTTTGAGTTAGTTTGAATATTTCTAAATTGAAAAACAGAAAAATAGGCCTTGGAAATAATTTCTTTCCTGAAAGTAACACCCAATCTAACTCATATCATAAATCTAGTAAAGAAAACCTAAAAATGAACGCGCATTTAAAACTCCTAGTGCGACTCCTGTTCGCCGTTCTATTGGTGTCCTTGATTTCCACGCTTTTCCTGGGCAAGCACATACACAAGCACATTATTGAATCGGTCAAGTCAAAGATTATTCATGGAGAAACTGAGATACCCAAAGATATTCCAAAAGGGATTCATTTAGAGTCCTCCTTGGCGGCTCCTTTTGACGTCCAAAAAACCCCAGAAAATATTGTACCCTTGGACAGCATCAATGTCAAAGAATTCGATTCCCTGAAGGTAAACAGAAATGCCTTGTCCCACCTATTAAAGCAGAAGGGCGCTCTCCGGGACTGGCACGACCGGAGGGCTATGATACTGGACAGGCACCGGCAGGGACTTGGCAAAATGGGAAGGCCAGTTGCCATTTCGGATCAAAAATCTTTGAAAGCCGATAAAAAGCTACTCGGTATCCATGGCTTTAATGCCGAGCTGTCCGATTTGATTTCCGTAAATCGATCTTTGCCGGATGTTCGATCGCAAATGTGAGTTTTAACTATAAATAATATAAAAATTTTAATTTAAACTTAAACTTAACCAGCTGCCACTTGATCAAGTACCCGGCAAAACTGCCCATGGCCACTGTGATTATTGCTTTTCACAATGAGCACCTGAGTGTTCTCCTTCGATCCATACACAGCCTAGTGAATCGTTCTCCTCCCGGGCTCCTTGGTGACATTATCCTTGTGGATGATGCCAGTACTTTGGTAGCCTTAGGACAAAAACTGCATCGGTATTTGAGAAAGACCTTTGGGGAGCTGGTGACCTTGGTGAGACTCCCAAAAAGACGGGGTCTGATTAAGGCCAGAATGGAGGGTGCTCAAAGAGCCCCCTGGCAGGTTTTGATCTTTCTGGATTCCCACATTGAAGTGACTCATAATTGGGTAAATTGTTTAAAGATATTAACCTAATATTTTTATATTATTTCCTTGTGTGTTTTTCAGCTACCCCCTCTGCTGGCCCCCATTGCCGCTCATCGCACCATTGCCACAGGACCCATTGTGGACGGCATTTCCCGGGAAACCTTTGCTTATGAAGCAGGAGCCACTCTCACCCGCTCTGGCTTCAATTGGCATCTCCATGTAAAGCATCTGCCACCCTTTCCCGAAGACTCTCAGGTTCCCTCCTCGCCCTATCGCACTCCCTTGCTGGTGGGTGGCTTGGCCATTGACAGGAGCTACTTTTGGGAGCTTGGTGGCTACGATGAGAAGCTGGACATCTGGGGCGGAGAGTATCTAGAGATGAGCTTTAAAATTTGGATGTGCGGCGGCATGCTGCTCTATGTACCCTGCTCTAGGGTGGCACACATCTCGAGGGGACCGGTGCTGGAGAGAGCTAGTCCAAGGAAATACAACTTTCTGGGAAGGGTGAGTGTTGAGTAACTACTTTTAAATAATAATTCAAAATAAATACAAATAAAAACAATATATTTATTATTATTTGCAGAACTACAAACGCGTGGCCGAGGTCTGGATGGATGACTACAAGAAATTCGTTTACCAACGTAACCCCGAACTATTCCTCAACGTGGATGCTGGCAATCTGACCGCCGTGAAGGCTCAGAGAAAGCAGCTAAAATGCAAATCCTTCCATTGGTACATGACCAAGGTGGCTCCCGACTTTCTTGAAAAGTTTCCACTGGTAGACCTTCCTCCACTGGCCTCGGGTGTTATTCAGAGCGTGGCCTATCCCTCCCACTGCATGGACACTCTCAAGGGGGAGTACAACCAGCCAATGGGCCTGGCACCTTGCAATAATCCTCCAAGCAAGCACCAGGACTGGACTTTGACCCGGGATCATGAGATCCGACTGAAGTCAGGCAATGCCTGCCTTGAAGTTAGCGACATAAAGGATTTTAACGTTCCTGTGAAGCTGTATCACTGCCACAGTCTGGGCGGAAATCAGTTTTGGTATTATAATCCCAAGTTAAAGTGGATCCAGCAGCGTGAAGGGTGGTACCACTGCCTCGAGGCCATCCCGCCGGTAGAATCAAATCCTGGACGTGTGGTGTCCAATTATTGCCGTAAAAGCAACAAGCGTCAAAAGTGGAACTTTGGATATCTTTGAGATGGATTTGCCTTGCTAAAATATTAATTAAAATGAAGTTTTAATGAAGTAATTATATCTTATTTGATATTGAAAATAAAATTTAAAATTTCAGAAGAATGTGTATATCAAATTTCTTGACCTCTCTGTCTCTCTTTTTATTTTTATTCCATATTTTAATCTTTGCTCTTGATTTCTTCAGTTTATTTCATCTGAAAACTGTTGCTGCCTCTTACACATCCCTTAGACGGCGGCAACTACTTACTCCCCCACTTGATTGATAGTGGAGAACGGTGTTGCCTCCAGTACCTTACCTTATCTCCTACTATTTCCCCCACTCTACCCTCTTAGATCAATTACCTTAATGGCCTATGATTTTTGCCAGGTGTCTCCATCTACCAGCTCCGTGGCTGCCCTGCCATGCCAGCAGTCAACGCTTTGGACTTCCGCCGGCTAGACGTCTTCAGGATCATGGCCATGAAAAAGAGATATGTGAAGCGCCTGGTCCGCAAGGTGATCCTCTGGCTAGTGGTCATTGCCCTGGTGGCTCTGGTCACCACTTTGATAGTGGAGAAGCGCATGAAACCAACTGAAAAATCCGGAGAAGAAAACCTTGATCCAAATGGAGATCCCATTACACCCATTTTTCGTGCGGCCCATATTCAACCCACCAGGAAGGCGCCACGTCCCCCCTACCAGGATCGCAACTCCTTTGTAAATCCCCCCAAGGAGGTGAAGCAGGGTTTTAGGCTGCCGGAACCAAAGGGTGAGCGAAAGGATTGGCATGACTACGCGGCCATGGAGGCAGACAAGCAACGGAGAGGCCTGGGAGAGCACGGAGCTGCTGCTCATGTGGGTGCCGATGAGAAGGAGCTGGAGGATCAGCTGTACAAGAAGAATGGCTTCAATGGTCTTTTGTCGGATAGAATTTCGGTTAATCGATCTGTGCCGGATGTGCGATTGGAAGAGTGAGTTTGGTAGAAAATATCTAAAGATCTTTTTATATTTTTTAAACATATTTTCCAGTTGCAAGACCCGCAAATACCTGGCCAAGTTGCCCAATGTCAGTGTCATCTTTATTTTCTTCAATGAACACTTCAACACCTTGCTGAGATCCATTTACAGTGTGGTTAATCGCACTCCCCCTGAGTTACTACGTCAAATAATTCTCGTGGATGATGGCAGTGACTGGGAGGTTCTGAAACAACCCCTGGATGACTATGTGGCCAGGCACTTTCCCCATTTAGTGGATATAGTAAGGAATCCGGAGAGAAAGGGTTTAATTGGGGCCAGGTTAGCCGGAGCCAAGGTGGCCTTAGGGGAGGTCATGGTGTTCTTTGATTCCCACATTGAATGTAACTATAATTGGGTAAGCTTTACAATATATTTTAACTTAATTTACTTTAATTATATATTCCTAAACATAAACCCCCTCAGTTACCTCCCCTCCTGGAACCCATTGCCATCAACCCCAAGATCTCCACCTGCCCCATTGTGGATGTCATTATGCACACCGACTTCTCCTATGGCGGTGGCTATCAGGAGGGTTCCCGTGGTGGCTTCGATTGGAAGTTCTTGTACAAACAGCTGCCTGTTTTGCCCGAGGATTCGGTGGACAAGTCCCTACCCTATCGCAGTCCCGTGATGATGGGCGGTCTGTTTGCCATAAGAACGGATTTCTTTTGGGATCTGGGTGGCTATGATGATCAGTTGGATATTTGGGGCGGTGAGCAGTACGAGTTGAGCTTCAAAATTTGGATGTGTGGCGGCATGCTGCTGGATGTGCCCTGCTCCAGGGTGGCTCACATCTTCAGAGGACCCATGGAGCCCAGACCCAGTCCAAGGAAGCACAATTTTGTGGCCAAGGTGGGGAGATATCAAATATTTATAAAAATTATTATTTAAATATTTATACAATACATAAAATCTCCCCCTTTTTAGAACCACAAACGCGTGGCCGAAGTCTGGATGGATGAGTACAAGCAATATATTTATGACCGCCAACCGGATACCTATAATAACCTGGATCCTGGTGATCTCTCCCGTCAGCTGGCCATTCGTGAGCGACTCCAGTGCAAGTCCTTCCACTGGTACATGACGGAAGTGGCACCCGATTTCCTGGCCAAGTTCCCGGCCATTGAACCGCCCAGCTATGCCTCCGGCGCCCTTCAGAATGTCTTCTATTCCCATTACTGCCTGGACACCATGGGCAAGGCTTCCAATGAGGTCGTTGGTCTGTTTACTTGCGCGGAGAATCGCACTCATCCCCAGGCCACTCAGTTTTGGACTCTCTCCGCTTACCGTGAGCTGCGCCAGCACTCGGATTCCATATGCCTGGACGTGCAGGCATCTCCGCCAAATGCCACTGTCTGGATGTGGTCCTGCCATAATATGGGTGGCAATCAGTTTTGGTTCTACGACAGGGAGAACCAGTGGGTGGTCCAGGGCCAAAAGAGCAATCGCTGCATGGAGGGATTTGTGGAGGATGGAAAGCAACAGGTGCTGGTGAATGAGTGTCAGAAGGGTAATGATCGGCAGAGATGGATTTTTGGAACTGTGAATGACACTTTGTTGGATAAGTTCTTTGAGGGAGTACAGTAGGTGAAAATATATGGAAATTTAATAGAAAATAATGTAAAAATCATTAGTAATGCCTCTGCAATGGGTTTCTAAATTGAAATGTATAAAAAAGGCTTTAAAATGTGGAAGAATATTTTTTAAGTATTGAAATCAATGTAAAAGGAGTTCAGAAGTTTAAAAGGATTTTTATTGCTTTAAATTCCATGTTTTTAAAAGATACAAAGAATTTGTATGTTAAATTTTGGTCACCAAAAAAACTTAAAATTTTTTAATGTAGGCTAAATTATTGTCTCTTAAAATCAACACTTAAAAACAATTACTTTTTCCCAAAAACTAAAATTAAAAACACCTTTGCCTCTCTTTAAAGAAACCTATAATTAATACTCCTTGCTCTCTTTCTTTCTCTAAGATATTTGGAAATATTGTTTTTAGTTTTAACAATAAAAAAATCGTTTAAATTTATATAGAAAATCTTTCATTTGGGGACTAGTCATTTTTTTCAGAATAAAATCCCATTTATAAACATATCACCACCTTTCGATCTGACAAGTTCGTGGACCTGCCTGCGTCACGGAGCCTAGTTCATTGATCGACGCGAAGGTTTCTCAAAAAATAAAATAAAAAAGTTCACTAAATAAATTTCATTTTTCCATTAATTCTTTCCACATGCATTATTGATATAAAGCCAGCGGAAAGTGAAAGATCTGGATGTCCCAAGAGAGATTGCTATCGGTAGGAGGCTTCAATCTGATTGTAAGACAACATTTTTTGTATTTTATTTGTGTTTTTAAGTTATCATGATTTTATCAAGAATTTTATTTATTAAAATTATGTTTTCTAAAAATAAATAATACTTCAAATAATTAATAAAATAAAATTAAAATTAACAAAAGTAATTTTTTTCTTTGTTAAAAATATGGGAAACTGTGAAGTTTTTAGCTTAACAATAATTAAACCTAGCTTTTAATTTATATAAAAATATATGATTATAAAACTTATAATATTATATTATACAGAAATATATTTTTATATAAATATATCATAGTTTATAGATTTCATGAATATATATAGTTTCATATAACAATATATTTTTATTTTAATATAATTTTATATAATTATATTTTCATAAAGTAAATATTATACATAGAGCATTCAAAATTCTTTAAAAATTTGTATGATTTTTCCCGATTAAACAAACATTTTTTGTCTGTCGCAAAAAACCTTATCAAAAGGCTGTTGAACTTTCCAAAACAGAAACGGAGAAGGAATATAGAGACGGAGGTGAAGAGGTAGCAGCAGATCCCGGGCTAGACTGGAGCATTGCAACCCCCTTAAGTTCCCAGAAGTCCCACAATCCCCAAAAAAAGACAACAATTTTTAAGGCTGATGTAATTCAAGATGAAAATTGCACGAGATTCACTTTCGAGAGGACGAAGATCGAAGATCCCTGAATGACTGAGCGTCAAGCAGTCTCGATTTGGTTTGGGGTCTATATCCTTATCTATGCACCTGCTAATTTATTACAGGCCACTTGTTGTTGTTTTGATTAATACCCTCGTGTTTTGTGTTTTCCTTTTCGGTGTATTTTTCATATTTTGTGCATAAACAAAGTCACATGAATGATTTTATTTGATTTTTTTTGGCCAACGCAGCGTCGACGACCAACGGCGGCACTCTTCTCGTTTGAATTCACAGAAAATGTGGGTCATCGACGTCAACGAAGATGGGCGGATGTGTGATTCGGTTTATTTTGTATTTAAATAATACCTTTTTAAGGGGTATATGAGTTAGAAAAAGAGTTAGGGGATTTTTTTAAAGAAATCGAAGGGGAACTCTTAAGCTCTTTTTCCTTTCAAATGTTTTCTTTTTTTTTTAATTTATTTTATTTATTCTAACAATATTATACAATTAATTTAAATATATTTATAGGCAGACAACTTAACTATAATAAATGTCAAGTAATTCCTTATATAATATTTTGTTTACTATTTCTTGCATTCCTTTCTTAGAACTATTTACAGCTGAAATAATTTGTTTACCAACTCAAGTGTCAAAAAGACTTAAGAAAACAAGAATAATTACTAGGACTTTAATGCATACTCTTTCTTTTAGTTAAAATATAAATTATAAAAAAGTTTTTTTGAAATAAAGGAATTATATTATTTAGAAATAAACAAAGAAAATATCTTTTCCTTGCTAAATATATCTCTAAGATACTTTTAAAACCACCTGTATCTAACATATTAGAGCATCCCTACCGTCATCTACTCCCCATTGTTTGATGACATTTTCATTTTCTCTTACCTTTTTCTCAGTATTCATTTCACTCAGTCTGAAAAAATAAAAACAAGTTGCCATTCGACCCACAGCAGCTCATTCACAAAACTATCTCAGACTCGTTTAGAAATAGATCCCACCCGAAAAAAATAAAATATATAAAATCTATTCAACCAAAACACGTAGCACGTAAGCGGATGGTGCAATTTCATCAGCAAATTTCAATTTCACCCGGCGAAAAACAGATTTCAGACGAATTTTATTGTCTTTACCGGTGTCTCCTCCCCCCTTTGCCTCTGGCGGAACGGAAAGAACACCCCTCGGCGCTTAGAGAGTCGGCTAAGAATTTCTCAAGACGCATTTTCACTTTAGCTGCAACGCAATAGGAAAATTATTTACACAAAGGGAAAAATTAGGTAGAGATTGGGGTGATATATCTTAGGATTTTTAATTAATTTATGAAGATTAGAAATTTATTAAAATAAAATAAAATGATATAATGATTTATAATTAATTTATGAAACTTTAAAAATTTATAAAAATAAAATAAAATGTTATAATAGTAAATAGTTTTAATTTGCGCTTAAAAGTATGCAATGATATATACTATTTTTATATCAGAATCTACAGAAACCATAGAATTTTCTTAATAACTTGTTTTCATAACTTGTTTGTTCATAAAAAATAAAATCTAATTCTTCTTAATTTCTTATCAATATTTCTCTCTCTGTGTTTACACTATGCTCTCACTCTGCCTCTCTGCGCAGGTATCAATGGCAAGGGAAATCCGAGCCGGTTCTTTGAGGGTTGATAACAGCTAATGGCCTGTGTCTCCGTCTCAGTTTCTCTCTCTCTCTCTCTGGAGAAATAAATCTCCCGCATAGGCCGGTAAACGCACGTAGGGCTGGTTTTATGCTGTGGACTACGTGCTGGATGACACGGCATAATTCCGCCGGTCTCTCGGTGTTTTTGTTCTGGGGATTCTACTTAGGCTCCCCTGTTTACAATTTTTGGGGGTCAGTTGGCACTTACCCTACCTAGATATGGGCTGCCCAACTCCCACCCCCCACATTAAGCGTAATTGATGTATGTGGGTCAGGCTTTTCCATAAATATTTTCCTCTGATACCAAATACATATATCCTTCAAGGTCCAAGCAAAAGTTTCCCCTGTTGAGATAATAAATTTTAGCACGCTTAGTGGTTAACCTTGTGCAGAATTCTATAGGTGGGCGGTCGCCCAGATCTTTATAGATCAACACACACGTGGCGGCTTTACATTAACCCCGGCGATCCATTGGTTCCCTTTCGTATGGCCCGTGGCCAAAAAAATAGCGAATTACGCCGAATTGGCGCCGACGTAAGCAAAAAGTTCCTTTTGGCGCTACTTACATGCGTCCAACGATTAAAAATCGTCAACATCGCCCCCGCATGGCGTGAAGCGCTCGTGCCGCTGCTTGGGAGTACCCTGTACTTGGGTGGGTACGTTTGCAACTCAGAGAACTTGGGAACTAAGAGGGGTAGAGATTTGAATTTTGGTATGTGACCTGGTTTATGAACCTTCTTTTGTTAAGTAGTTGTTTCAAAGGTTTATATAAGTTATTAAAGCTTTAAATAGTTATTCAAATGTTAAGACAAACTATATTGTAAGGTGAAAAACATGTTAAAAGCATCCTACATTCTTTTCTGTTAAATTGTCACAATTTTAATATATATTTCTAACGAAAAGAATAAATTGCCTTATATATTATATATTACACCTCTTGGAACTAAGAAAATATCAGTTATATAACTTCAAAATTTGGTATGTAAAGAATTAGGATTGTTTTATTGTGATTAATAAAATAAAGGCCAATTATAACGTAACATTACTTTAATTATTAATATTTAAAAATCCTAAAATTCCATTTACTGGGTATTCTTCTAGCCCAAAAACCTTCCTAAAATATCGTATGTTTTATTGCTATGCTGGCCGAGTGCCAGCATGCTCACGGAATACGCTTGGAACCTACGTCAAAAGTTTGCCGGCAACGTGTCTTTATGCTAATTAATTGTATTTCATGAAAACGAGTGCAAAATAATAGCCCCTGTGACACACGAGAGATAGGAGCTGGGAGAGTACTTCCCGAAATTCCGCGGAAGAATGTTTTAGCACTAAAAAGTTAGAGAGAGCCGAGACCTTTTAGAGACGTGGTGATAACAGCACACTTCACCTGAGTCATTCGCATAATTTAAGTACGAATTCGATTTCCCCCTCTGGCCAGATCGATAATAGAAATTCTTGTTAAGAAATTATTCCTGCCGCTGGCTAACTTGTTTACCAATAATATTGCCATGCATTAAACAATAACAAATGGCTAAAGATAAACAAGAGCTCAAGGCGAGAAGCCCCTCAAGAAGGCTCTCCCTCTGCCTCTCTTTTGCTAGAAATGTCTCTAAAGGTGTGCAGCAGACTAAAACAAAAACAAATTAAAAACAAGAACAAAAAATATATATAAATATTAAAATACAAAAACAAACCGCGCCGGTTTGTCACAAACTACGCAGAAAATACTCGCCGATAAAAACAAAAAACAAAACATCAGGCGATGAGAGAGAGAGCTGAGAGAACCCAGAGAGCCGGAGGTATAAATAGCGGTTGCTTTCCGAGTTCAGCCAGCAATCGCTTAGCGAACAGCCAACAGCCAGGAGCAGCTAGTAGCCATCAGTACTCATCAGTGCCCCACAAAGCTGATAAAAACCCACTCAAAACAACGCAATTTGTGTAAACAATAAAACTCTTGTGGAGGCATATCTTACAAGCTTACAAAAGCAGCGGAAAGTTTTCAAACAAAAGGCATAAAATCAATCAATTAAAAAGATGTCTGCATCGCCCACTGCCCGTCAGGCCATCACCCAGGCCCTGCCCATGATGACCAGGAAGATTGTCATCTCGGATCCCATCCAGATGCCCGAGGTGTACTCCTCGACGCCTGGAGGAACCCTGTACTCCACCACACCTGGAGGTAAGTCAAAGAAAAATATTCTAACAAATCAAAACGAATCAAGTTAAATCAGCCAAAAATATTAAATAAAATTTAAAGTTATTTTTGAGTCAATTAAAATTAGTTTCAAGTTCTTAAAACATTCATAATAAATGTATTACAAGCTCTAGCTCTTAGAAACCTTTTCACTTTTCTTTTTTAAACGATTTAAATATAACTTAAATATCAAGTTCATGCTCTAAAATTAAAACTCAGGGCTTGTACTATTTTAAAACCATTTTAAAATACATTTTGCAATTACCTTTGCTTAGTATTTTAAGGCTATTTAAAGAACAAATTTAATTACAATTTATTTCAATGAACTTAAACAACTACTTAAATTCTCTCTAAATTTCTAAACATTTTAATTTAAATTTTAATTTGCCTTTCAAATTCTTTTCTGAATGAAACTTTTTTCCCTTATAATTTTACCCACAAACAAAGCTTTTGTTTAAAATTCTTAAATTTATTTATAAATCCTAACTCACCTTAATTTTTTGTTTGGTTGTTGGCTGATGAAACTTGGACATCCGACTGAATCAGTCAGCGGAATAAATGATAACCGAAATAATCAGACAGACTCACAGCAGGCGGGACACATGTGCTCCCCTTGGAGTTCATGACTCACAATGATTACCCAGCTGTTTGCCTTATCTTTGGGAATTCTAAATAGATATTCCTTAGCTGATGCAACCGCAGACACTAGACACCTTGACTAACCCCTATCTTTTCCTATTTTTTTCCAGGCACCAAGCTAATCTATGAGCGCGCCTTCATGAAGAATCTCCGTGGTTCGCCCTTGAGCCAAACGCCGCCCTCGAATGTGCCCAGCTGCCTGATGAGGGGCACCCCCAGGACACCTTTCAGGAAGTGTGTTCCCGTGCCCACGGAGCTGGTCAAGAAGACCACGTCTTTGAAGATCGAGGACCAAGAGCAGTTCCAGCTGGAGCTGTAGTCTGGCGGCCATCAAGAGCTTTAAATTCCAAGCAAGCAGCAACTGCCAAATCATACTTAGTTCTTAGTAGTTAAACCCTAAAAAACCCGATCTTATAAGCTTAGAAACCTTTTAAATTAATTTAAATATTAGTTGTCCAAGTTCTTAATTTATTAAGTTCTTAAGTTCTTAGGTTTTAAAGTTCTCAAGTCCTTAGTTCTTCCAATTGTTTCTTGTTCTTTCGGTCATATTGACTCAGTAAACTTGTAAAACTTTAGTGAATAAGTAACAAAAAAGCAATAAAAAAATCTAAATATTTAAAAATTACATTTTGAATTGAATTTTAATTTATTTGCCGGCTTATCAAGGTCATAATTTTCTTTATATAAAATCTAGATTAATGTTTGAAGCAGCCTATAGATTGCCAAACATGTGCGAATTGCTTGCTTTATCAGCAAAAATGAACCTTGGGGAGGCCATGCGTCTGATAGAACACTTTCCCACTTCACCTTGAGTCAGTTTAAATTTATATATTTTCGTCAGTTTGTTGAACTTTGTATCGAAGAAATTATTAACGTTTAGAGAGAGGCATAGAGGCATAGAGGGAGTGAGAATTATAGACAGCTGGAAATACCGGCCGGCTTTTTTAGTTAGCTAAGTAGTCACTGGCCCCAGCAGCGCGTGTCCCAGTTACCGAAAAAATAAATATAAAAAAAATATATACAAAGCAAACAAAAGATCAACACACACAAGGGTGTGTGTGGTATAATGTATCTACAAAAAAAAACCGGCAAACAAGACCAAAAACAACAAGAAATAGATCTTCAAAAACTGCGCAGTTAGGAAACGACTTTGGCTTTGCCTTTGCCTTTGCCCCCTAGCCTCCCTTTTTTTTCGAGTATAAAATACATATATATATGTATATATGTATATATATATATACCAAGCACATGTTCTGATAGAGTCTATCCCGGAGAGCACGAATCTATAGCCCAGATGACTATCCCTTCCCAGAGCACGTTTCTAGCGTCTCCCTCCATCTGGATTATTGCGCATGAATAATACTTTTGTAATTACTTAATATTTGAATAATTGTTTAGTCTGAGTTTTAGCAACGCAGTGCAAAAATTCGATTAGCCCATAGATAGAGGAGCAAATAAGTAGTTGTTAGTTTCTACGCATGCAAATTCTGTGCTATCAGTCAATGTTTATTCGCTTATAAATAAATGGCAAACAATTTTAATTTAATGGGTAAACTTTAGTGTTGTCGGAGTCTAGACAGAACAAATAGTTGTTGATGTGTTGTGTACATTTTTAAATTAATTTGCTGGGGAGTTATGCATTTACAAATGAATCAATAAAGTTAATAACTTATGATATGGTTTTTGTTTGTTATCTTGGTTGATTTTTGGTTTTAAATATTATCAATTAAACATATGATAATTTCTAATAATTATTAGGTTTATGGTTAATACAAAATATTTATACTTTTAAGTTTAAAAAAAGTTTTAACTTTTTTATTGGATTAAGTATTTTTTTATATATTAAGCACGATTGTTTTTACGTATCAATATATCAATAAATTTGTATAAATTTTGGAACGTATAAAATTACCTTCCTTATTTTATGTTCCTTATTTTCAATGTTTAGTTTTTATGTTAATAATATGAAAAATAAAAAATATTTATATTTGAAAAATGCTTACTTTATATGAAAAATATTTAAATTTACATTTTTCAAATTGTTTATATTTTTAGAGACACAAATTATGAAGAAATTAGTTATTTTATTTTATATTTTTTACTTTCATGGATTAAGCTCTTTCTTTTTGATAATAATAAAAGATTCTTATCTTATATATCGCGACTATTTAAAATGTGGCGCTGTTTTCTAGTATTATTTCAAAGATTCGTAATTTTGTAGACTGTAATTCACAAAATATTGCCTACTTTTAGGCACAATTATAAAGACAGTACCGTTGAAGGCCGTTTATATAGCCTTTTCTTTATGGAGCCACTCATCTACAGTTTTAAATATTTAAAAAAAATTTTAAATTAAAATTATAAGGTATGTAGTTTTAAGGAAATATAAGAGCAAATTTATTTTTTAATTTTTCAAGTGTTACTTTACCTTTTTAAAAATATTTATACATTTTTTTTATATTTATTTATCCATTATGTTTCCTCAATAAATGGAATAATTAGAAAATAATTGTAAATAAAATTAATAAAATCAGAGAATATTTAAAAATAAAAATAAATTAAGCAATTTATTTAAGTTTTACTTCACCTTTTCTTTTATATTTATACATTACCACTTTCCAATCGTTTTCCCAATAAATAAGAAATATATAAAATACTTGTAAATAAAATAAAATACTTTAAGCATCAAAAAACATGGAATTTGTATTCCCCACCCCTTCAATTATTTGTTCTCTTTATTCCAAACCACATCTAACTATTACTTAAATCAATTTCCCTTTGTTTTTAACCATATTCATAAGTTTATTTGATCAAGTTTCGTTGTTTCGCATAGGACAAATGTACAAGAATCTCTAAATATCGAAAGCAATCTTACAATCTAAGACAAAAGAAGGCGTGTGTTTAATTACAAATATTTACAATATTTATTTATATTTCTTTATAGATAGATGAGCGAATGAGTGAGAGAGTGTAGAGTGTGGATAGGATAGGTCGATCGATAGCCTCTCTACTACTTGAACCTCAGCAGGTTATCCGCTCCGCCCAGAGGACCATGACCAAAGTGCAGGGCATCCGAGGTGGACTCTGAACGAGTGCGAGCATCCAAAACGGAGGCCACCCGCTGTTGACCACTGATGTAGCCCAGAGAACCCGAGCCCAGGTACACATTGCCATTGGCCAAACGCACAAAGCCCAATCCTCCTGACCCCAAGGCTATGGCATCTCCGCCTTGCGATGATCCTCCCTGAGATCTCGGCTGAATGGCCAGCTGCTGTTGCTCCAACAATAAAGCGTTTGCTCGGGAATCTAACTGAATGCCATTGGCCGCCGGAGCACCCACATGGGCTCCAAAACGATCAAAGAAGCTGGAACCCGACAGGAATGGAGCCGGAGTCTCGTCTATGTCGTTGTCTATGATCTCAATGACGGCGTATTGCTTCAGCTGCCTGCCATTGGACACATAGGACTCTCCGGGAGAGATCAGTGCCTGCTTGCCAAAGGGTATTCTTAGGTTTCCACCCGCCGCCAGAGGAGCAGGTCCAGTGGGTGGCACCACAATGGGTGTGGACAACGTAGGCACTGGCGAAGAGATCCTTAAAGGTTGAGGTGGTCCATAAACGGGTTTCAGAGTCGGCGTTCCATGGAAGCTAATCGAGGAGATGGGAGCAACCACCGCTGGTGGTATATATGTGGACACCACTGGTGCTGATGTGGGTGGCAAATAGCGACTGACAAAACTGGCAGCGGGTGCAGTGGGACGACTTCTGGGCAAGGGTACCCTGGCGGTGGGCAAAGGCGGCAGAGCTGGTATTGGTGGCAGTGGATGGATCGTGGGCAAGGCACTAAACTGGTGGCCAGTGTAAATGGAGCCTGGTCCCGAAGGAGCTGAGGGAGCTGAAGGAGCTGTGGGTCTCGTGGGTCGCTGGTAATGATAGCCCACATCGGCAGCAGCCAGGGAGAGGAGCGTCAAGGAGAGCAGTCCTAGAATACTCAGTCGGTGGTAAGGCATCTGTAAAAATTTAAAAGGAGAAGGTTTTATTTACGGCTAATAAATATTATTATTTATTAAGTAATATTTACTTAATAGCTTTACTTAACACTGGAAAACTTCAATTAAGTTGGGCAATTAAAAGAGGAAGTATTGGGTATGTCCCGCTTGGCACACACTCGTGTTTCTGCTGTTTTGTTGTGACATCATATAACCGCTCAATCAATTAGATAAATGTTTAATGAGCTCAGCCCCAGACAGTAAACATAATTGTTTAAAAATCACTAGCGTTGAGTGAGCAGTTAGTGTGGGTTATGGGGATTGGATACTCTATGAATTAAGACTTTGATTTGTAAAGTAATTTAAACTTAAAGAAAATATACTATTTTATAAAAATTAAAAGAAAATAATATAAATATTTATTATCTATATGCAATCTCTTCTTCCCGTAAAATCCTCTAAAAAACACTATTTTGTAAATTTTTTAAAAATATTTCCCCATAATTTTCTTACTTCTTTAAAATACCTAAAAAAGAGTACCTAAACTTCCCCCTATTTCTTGTTAAAAAACCTCTCTAAAAACATTAGTCTTTAAACGATTTAATTGATTTAATTTCGCAGTGCGCCAAGCTAACAGTAGTAACTGGTTATTTATTTGTTTTTTTTTTTTTTTTTGTTGCCCGCTGGAAGATCGCTGTTGAATCATTGGATCGAGTTAGCCGGCGGATCGGATCGATTCGAACTGAGCTACTGTAATTGGCGTGGATATTTCATGCAGAGATCGTTGCCCAAGGTGTCGCGTCGATCATAATGGGAGGAGGCGGTGGCCAAAAAGAGAGCCAGCCACAAGCTAATTAGCAAATCGGAAGGCAAACATTGTGTCTATCCTCCGTTCACTCCAGTCTTCAGGTGTAATCGCTGGCCAATTAAATCAAATCGCAGCACTTAATTGGATATTTATATTCATTCCTCCCATTAACACTTCCCACACACCACCACCAGGAGCCGTCCTTTGTGTGCGGGCATTATCAATCTTTCTCGTTGGTTTTAAACAAAAGGAAAAAAGTCTAACGAAAAATAGCCAGGCGGGCGGACACTTAATGATATTTATCAATTGGCCAAGTTGCCAGTGCCCAGCTCTAGCTCAAAGTACACTGAGGAAAATGTATTTGAGGGTCAAGAAAATAAGGGAAATATTTTAAATAAAGAAATAAATATAAAATAAACATTTAAAATGTAACATATTTTAACCCTTTAAATTCCTAACAAAATATACAACTGTGTTTTATTTTTATTAATATTTTTTTCTCTTTAACAAAACCAACAAAAACAATCAGCCACTGCAACTGGCAGCAGGTTCAAACTCAGGGGCCATGGCTGCTACTAAGGAAAAGGGGGGCCTAAAAAATAGCACCAATTCAGGGGGGGGAGCTGAGGCATAGAGAGGGGGCGAGGTGGGCGTGGGAAGTGTGCAGTAAAGTGGCGTGTGGTCATTGTTGTTGCCTTCAGATTCAGTTTAGTTTAGCTTTTGTTGTTGTTATTGGTGGTGCTGCGTGGGCGTTGCTTGGGTGTCAGTGGCGGGTTCAGATCATGCATCGAGTTGTCGCCGGCTCACTTGCCGTTGTTTACATAAAAGGCGTTTAATTAAGTCATTAAACAAGTTGCGATAATAAAGCATGTATTTATGTAAGTGGTGTCACTCCAAAAATGGGGGTGGTGAAGGCGATTTTTTTGTTTAAAGATTTTGTGGAAAATGGTCTGAATGTTTTTAGGGATTTAGATTTATAAGAGGGAAAAGTTTGTATTGTATTTTAAATAAAAAAGGGAAAAAGCTTAAGAACAAAAAATTTAATGTATTATAAAATTATAATATTATAATATATATTAAAGTACTTTTTTTATAATTTCTTCAATCTTAGATTAATAAATTCGTTTTTTGACAAAGTAAAAAATATTTTTATATTTTTCTAAATAAAGTTATTATACCCTTGCAGGGTATTATAATTTCAGTCAGAAGTTTGCAACGCAGTGAAGGAGACGTTTCCGACCCTATAAAGTATATATATTCTTGATCAGCATCAACAGGGGAATCATTCTAGATACGTCAGGAAGAAATCGATTTTTTGGCCATTTTTGCAAAATTTTATAAGGGGTTAAAATTTTTGATTTTGATAAAAAATTGAATTTTCAAAATTTTTAAATAAGGTATGCAGATTTATTAACTGTAGAAAATCTTGCACAGAACAGTTTTCCGATTTAAAATTAATGCTCTTTTGGCCGAGTTATGATATTTTTAATTTTAAAAAAATCAAGAAGTTTTTTAATTCAAAAAATCCGATTTTATAATACAAAATAATATTTTTCTAAGTCAAGGAATCATTTCCGACCCCATAAACCATATATATTCTTGATCAGCATTAACATGCGAATCTTTCTAGACATGTCCGGAAGAAATCGATTTTTTGGCCATTTTTGCGAAATTTGATAAGGGGTTATTACATCATTAAAATTAGCAAAAATGACCAACAATTTTGATTTCTTAAAATTTTAAATTTGGTATGCAGTTTTTTTAAATTAATGAAAACTAACACAAAACTGCTTTCCGAATCGAAATTAATGCATTTTTGGCTTAGTTATGATATATTTTAATTGTTACCTGCAAGGGTATACAAACTTTGGCTGGCCAAAGTTAGCTTTCTTTCTTGTTTCAAATAAAATAAATTTATTTATGCCTTTTCAGGTTAATATATATACCTTTCGTTCCTCTTAACTCATTAACTAATTTCTCATCTCACATTTTCTTCATTTCCCCTTGAATTTTCATTCATAACCTCCTCTTCCTGGTTCCTAGAAGCAAGTTCGTTGCCCAAGTCTTTCGTTTTGTGCTGCATAAATCTCATGGCACGCACAAATACCCCCCTCGGCTAACCTCCTTCTCCTCCATAGCTTCAACTCAAATAGATTTGTAATAAATTATGCGCTATATGCACTATAATAAATCAATAAACTATAGCCATACGCAACTTTTTGCTGGTCATCGATTTTGGCCGTCTTTTTTTTCTATCTTTTTTTGCGTTTGCTCTACTTTTGTTGTTGTTGCTTTTTTTGCATACTACAAAAACGCATTTTTTGCCAGAGCTAACAGCGTGTGCCAAATGCAGGAAGGGGTATGGGGTTTTTTTTATGGAAAACAGGAAAATATTTAAAGGCAGAAAAAGAGGGGGGGTTTTTTTTTGGAGGTGACAGTTCAGTTCAGTGAAGGGGAAGGGGTTGAGAAAATGTTAAGTGTTTTTGGTTTGAATTTTATAAACAAAGAAAAAGGTTTAAGGAAAAAAATTGAAAAAATAAGTATATAAGGGATACAAAATAATAAAAAATATTTTAGTTCTGGAAAAAATATAATTTCAAGGTGCAAATTTAAAAATATAAAATTTTAAAATGAAAAAGAAATAAATTATCTTAAAATTTAATTAAATAAATATTCCAATTAAATATAAAGAAATTCCTTTTTTTCTATATTCGCAAAATCCTTTCCCCCTTTTTAGCCCCACCTCTGGCCACTTGAAAGTCACTTGGCCAGCGGGCCAGACGTCAATGTTGCGTGTTGCTGGCCACTTCGGGCTCAATGAATGAATTGCATTGATTGAACGACTCACGCACCTCGCTTTTGGGCCTGGCTATTTCGGCCATTTCGCTCTATAAATTTTATGTTTGGCTTTTCCAGACGCCAGACGACGGGAAAAGCCAAGAGGGGGTATAGAAGGCGGTGGGTGGCAGGCGGTTACTTTAAAACTGTGTCAATGCGGCTCTGGGACTCGCTTTGATTTGTTTGATAACTTTTGCGTGGCACTTTTCGGATGATATTGCATCACAGCCTTGTATATTTTCTATGTCTTTTTATTTTGGCAACGGAAATTAGATTTTTTTTCTTAAGCCAAAAACTCTTAATTAAAATCCTTTGCCATAAAGCGCAATCAGTGCGTTGCATATTAAGTTTCTGCCAGGATGTCACGTTGCAGCCAAGAGTTGTGCAACTTTATGTGGTTTTTATTATCATTTTGTTTCTTTTTAATTTTTGTAATTTTTTGGGATATTTTCGGATTAGCTAGAGGGGCGTTTTGTTTGGTTTTTAAACTGGTTTAATAACAAACTGGTATCAATTGGCATCGGCTACTTAGAGATCTCTCTCAGCAACAGCAGGGCCAGGAATGTGAGGTGGTTAACAGATAGCGAGTATAAATCACTCAGCTGTACATCCTCCTCCTACCGGCAAATAGTCATGAAGCCGGAGAGTGGGCATTTTTCATGACAAATGTTGCGTATGCGACACGTTGACCGACTCAGGCAAACGCAATGTGAAAGGAATCGTGTGGGGAGTTCCCAGACGTTGGAAATGCTCTTATTAAAATAATTTTAGAAGGAAGTTTAGATGGAAATAATTAACCAAATTTGGGAAAAAATCATGAGAACATCTTGAAAATGAATAAATAAAATAAATAAATAATTTAAAATGCAAATATAAATTATATAATTAGAAATTTTAGTTAATAAAAGAGTTCTTAAACATTTAAAACTATTATTTATTTATTTAGAAATAAGTTTACTTTTATTTCAATATTATTTGTAACCGAATATAGTTTATATATATTTATATAGACAAAATTCCTTTTTAAAAAATATATTTTTAAGTTTTTAGGGGAACCTCTTATATTTAAAAATGAATAAGAATGCAATTTAACAATTAAAAAATCTATTTGAATATTTTTGCCAATTTTAAGTTATTAAAATTTAACTACAAAATAAATAAAATATACAAAGTTCTGCAAGCCTTCAAAATAAATAAAAAAATATATTTAAAATTAAATACAAAATATTTTAAAATTCCAAGGCCTTACACAAATATATTTTTAATTTTTTAAAATTTATTAAGCAATTCACCATCATTTTAAATATAATTAAAAAAATAACCCCTTAAAAACCCCCACAAAATATACAAATTTCTTGCTAATATCTTTGATCAT